GGCGACTTTGGGCCAATCACCAGGAGACGGTGAGTTCTAGTCCCACCTTAGACACAAAAAGCCAGCTGGGCGACTTTGGGCCAATCACCAGGAGACGGTGAGTTCTAGTCCCACCTTAGACACAAAAAGCCAGCTGGGCGACTTTGGGCCAATCACCAGGAGACGGTGAGTTCTAGTCCCACCTTAGACACGAAAGCCAGCTGGGTGACTTTGGGCCAATCCCCAGAAGAAGGGAGTTATTTGTAAAAATAATAAAAAGCGGGATACAAATCCATGAAAAAAAATAAATTAAAAAAAAAACACCCAATCCAATCCTTTGGGTAGCTCATCCTCTTCGGCCCTTTTATTCAAAGTTGCCGTCCCCGTCCCCCCCGTTCTCCAATCAATTCAATGAAGGACGATTTGAGGACGACGATTCCCCCCCCGCACACCCTTGTTGGTTTTTTTGGAAGCCATGAGGACTGGAAGCGTTGAGCGACTTCAAGAAAAGCCATTTCGACCGGGAGGTTTGCCAATTACCATTTTCCACCTTGGTGCGAAGCTTCCCTTGCCTGGGGGTCTCAAAGAGGGGCTGGTGCTGGTCCTCCCCGGCTGTGTTGGCCTGCTCGCTGCAGGACTTGTCGAAGAGTGCGCCGTCCCCGCAAGGCGCCGTGCTGGAGGACACAAACACACAAACGGAGCAGGCAATGAGGCCGAATCTTAACTCGGTTTAGAGTTCCCTGTTGGAGACTAAGTCCAGCAAACCAAGTTAGAAGAGAGCCTCCCCTCCCCTCCCGCCCCGTTCCCTTATTCCCACCCAGTTCCTACGGGTAGTCCTCAAACAAAGCCAGGTTCACTTAACAACCTCTTAACGACTCGCTTAACAAACAAAAAGTCGCAAAACGGGGCAAAACAAAACACTTTACCAAGTTCTCACTTAGCAACATGGAACTGGGGCTCAATTCTGGCCGCAGGTCGAGGACTACCTGTATCCTGATCACCTAAGCCACGACGATCTTTCCCCTTGTACTATTTTCCCCTCCTTTACGCTCACCTGGTGTACAGGTAACAGGCGACATCATTAGAACTCGCCTGGTTTACAGGTGAGAATTGACACCTCACCTGGTGTACAGGTAAAAGGTGACGTCCTTACAGTTCACCCGGTGTACGATTAAAAGGCAACATCGCTACAGCTCACCTGTTGTACAGGTGGCGTCGTTACCACTCACCTGATGTACAGGTGAAAGCTGACGTCATCTTTGATCTTCAGCTTCCTGTCTTCCGCCAGCTGAAAGATGCTTTCTTCTGGCGCCAAGGGGTCAAAGTTCATCAGCTCGTTGTACAAGAACCTGGGAACGAGGAGGAGATGATGCCAACGCCCTGAATGCAGGACGTCCTCGTACCTGCGGCCACGCTGGGAAAATCTGTCGTTAAGCGAGGCGCCACCACGAAGGGTCGCTAAACGGATAGCCGTTCAGTCGAGGACTAGCTATACTCGTTTAATGCCGGGGGAGGGGGGCTACCTCAATAAAAAGTACCAGGCTTGGTGATTTCTCCTCCCCCCTCCCCGCCTTCCCACCAGCGGATGGGGCTGACGGAGCCACCCGCCTGCCTCTTCACCTGACGAATCCCCTCCGGGAGATGATCTCCGCGTGGCAGTCATTCACCGTCTCCCCTTTCAAGCTCAGCTCCTCCCCTTTTACGCAGCGGTTCCCTGGCGGGGGAAGAGGAGACCTTAGTTAGACCTACCTACCTTCCTTCCTTCCCTTCCATCATTTACCCATCTCTACATCTATCTATATTCCTTCTTTCTTCCCTTCCCTTCCATCTTTTATTTATCTACCCATCTTTCTTTTTTCTTCTTTTCTTTCCTCTTCTTCTCTTCCTTCCTTTCCTTCTATATCTATCTATGTCTCTTCCCTCCCTCCCCTTATCTCCTCCTTCCTTCTTTTCCCTCCCTTCATTTATCAATCTACTCATGTATTGATCTCTATTCCTTCCTTCCCCTTCTATCATTTACCTACCTACACATCTATCTATATTCCTTCCTTTCCTTCCAATTCTCACCTTCTTCCTTCTTTGCCTTCCATCCATCTTTTATCTACCCATCTCCCTTCCTTCCCTTTCCCTTCCTCTCCTTCTCTTCATTCCTTTCCTTCTATATCTATCTATCCATCCATTCATCCATCCATCCATCTATGTCTCTCTCTGTCTCATTCTCTATCTCATATCTATCCATCCATCCATCGTATCTACCTATCCCTTTATCTATCTATCTATCTATCTATCTATCTATCTATCTATCTATCTATCTATCTATCTATCTTCCATCTATCTATCATCTATCATGTCTCTCTCTGTCTTATTCTTTCTCTATCTCATATCTATCTATCCATTCATCCACCTATTTATCCATCCATCCATCCATCCATCCATCCATCCATCCATCCATCCATCCATCCATCGTATCTATCTATCCTTTATTATCTATCTATCTATCTATCTATCTATCTATCTATCTATCTATCTATCTATCATCTATCTATCATCTTGTGCTCTCTCTCTCCCCCCTCCCCAGGCCAAAATGAACACCCCCCTCACCTGTCCCGATGCTGACCACGACCCCCAGCCCCTCCTGGCCCCTCCTCATGATGATGGCGGCCAGGATCTTGCGTCCCAGAAGGCTGTGCTGGATGCGGGCGGTCAGGGCGTTGAACCGCTGGTGGCTCAGCATGGCGATCTGGTCGTGCAGGGTGCTTCCGCTGACCGGCAGCTGCCAACGGGATGGAGGAGAGGTCAGTTATGGCCTTCTGGCCTTCCAGTGTGTGTGTGTGTGTGTGTGTGTGTGTGTGTGTGTGTGTCTGCGCGTCTTAAATCCCCTTGGGGCAGTGGGAGGATGCAGACCGGTAGCGAGGGGAGAGGTGTATTAACCCCAATAAAGGTAGTCCGTTTAGTGACCGTTTAAAGTTACAACGGCATTAAAAAAAAAGGGATTTAGGATGGTTGCACCATCCCCATATTTACGTGATCATAATTGGCAATTGACTCCTATATACAATATACAATAAACTACTGAAATAAAATAAACTAATAAAATACAATAAACTAAAAAAATAAAATAAAATAAAAAATAAAATAAGCTAATAAAATAAGCTAATAAAATAAGCTAATAAAATAAGCTAATAAAATAAACTAATAAACTAAACTAAACTAATAAAATAAAATAAACTTAATAAAATATAATAAACTAATAAAATAAAATGTAATGCAATTCAATGCAATAAAATAGCTGGTCATGTGGTGCCTGGATGTCTATGATTTATGACTGAAATCCCGCTCGTAAGTCAAGGGCCCCCAGTATGGCCAAACCATGTGGTCAGTCCAGCCAACCAGCCAAAGGGTATCCCGATTGGGGAATCCGATTGGCCAGGAAGCCATGAACGGAGGCTAAAGAACTCCTGACCTCTGTGATGCCCAGCCCTTCGGCCGCGTGCTCGGACTTCTCTTTCTCCCCGATGAGAACTCGGAGCGCCGCATCCGCCGCTTCCTGCTTTCCTTGCTTTTTGCTGTGCGCCGAGACCGGCAGGAACCAACGGCCGCCCACTTTCGCCTGGAAGACGAACCTGCGGGGACAGAATCAGACGGGAGTTTATCTCGGATCGCTAGGGTGCTGACATACCGCCCCCCTCAGGAAAATGACAGGCAGTCTTCGACTTATTCATGGACTCCTATTTATTCACGGAGTCCCCGGGAAGGGGGGAGCTCACGCGATCCCCTTTTGCGACCTTCCAACAAGCCAAGTCGGCGGGGAAGCCGGATTCGCTTAACGACCCTGTGACTAACTTAACGGCGGCGAGTCATTTAACAACGGTGGCGAAAAAAGGCTGCAAAATGAGTGGTGGAAAGAATCCCTGAACAAATTGTCTCACTTAGCAACAGGGATTTTGGGCTCAACTGTGGTCGTACGTCGAGGACTACCTGTGTTTAGTCCGGGAGGACCCAGACTGGAACAGATTTTGAGAGATGCCAAACTCGTTGGGCGAGCTGGACGAACCCTCCTTGACTTACTTGGGGTCGTGGGGAGGTCCGGTCTGGTTGATGAGTTTGAATTCGGCGGCGAAGCCGTTAGCTCGGGCGTACTCTAGAAGTCCGCTGACCGGATTCGTATTCAGGTACTTGATCAACTCGCCGACGCCTTTGGCGCTGACCGTCCTGGACTCCTCCGGATTGGCCAGCTGGCTACCTTGTACGTCCAGCGTGGGCTCGGACGGGGCTTCTACCTGAAGTTCAGTAAAGACAGAAATCTGGGTTGCGAATGAAGCGGGCGGAGAAAGCTTGCCGCGCCGAGGAGGGGAAGAAAAGGGGGAGGTCTTACCTGCGCAGGTGAGCTGGTGGTTTCGCCACTCAGCCCTCTCATGGCTGCCTCAGCGGCCATTTGCTTCGCTCCCTTCTTGCTGTTCGAGACCACGGCGGGGAAGATGCGTTCGCCCACCTTGACGCAATATCGAAATCTGAATGGACCCCGGAGGAAGAATAGAATAGAATAACAGAGTTGGAAGGGGCCTTGGAGGTCTTCTAGTCCAACCCCCTGCCTAGGCAGGAAGCCGTATACCATTTCAGACAAATTGATATCCAACCTCTTCTTAAAGACTTCCAGTGTTGGGGCATTCACAACCTCTGGAGGCAACTTCTGTTCCACTGATTAACGGTTCTAACTGTCAGGAAATTTCTCTTCAGTTCTAAGTTGC